AATAAAAATTTGACCAATTTTACCAATGGACCTCATTTTAGAAAATAATTATATAGTTTTTGCCGTTGCACGGTTTATCATATAGGACACTAATTTATCTTGTATAAACTTGAAGCTTGGGACTAAAGATAGTTTCATGCTGAATTATACACGTCATATATGAAAACTGTATCATCAGAAAAGAATGTTAGGGGTCTATTAAGCATTCTAATTATAAAAATTAAGAGGTATAGAAACAAGGTCCAGAAGTTTTTAATATAAAGAAGGGAATCTCTGGGCCCAGGAAAAGGTTCATCACTGAGTAGGAGAGACAGGTAATGGTGAAGCAGGACCAGGGAGTTAGAAAAGACTGTAAAATCATGGTAAGGACATACTACATATTATTCCTACTAGGTAGGTTTAGGGCACTGATATATTGTCCATCCAACTGACTGTGGGGTTTGTTGGCTACTCAAGCTAGATAGTACATAACTAGGCTGAATTTTTCCATTCAAATGTCACTGGCTTATGGATACACAAACTTTATAAAGGAAATAAACTGAGAAGTAAAATTTGCTTCACAGAAATTCATATTATAGTTAGTTCTTTTTATAAATAATCCTATTCCCTTTAAAAAGGGACAGCTACCTTTTAAAGAAAGATTTTACGGAAGTGCAACACATACACTGGTTGCAGAACAAAATCACTGTGCTCCTAACTGGTCCTTTCCTATTTCCGTCCTTGCCATGTCATCTGAAAGATGGAAAATACAGTGGTTCCTTTTCAGTGGAATTTTTTTCTGTCTGCTATTTTTATACCTAATAAGTGAAAACTGCAAACTAATATAGTATCAGTTTTAAGTATTCATCATTTAAATCTTTATAAAGGTAAAGAAACTTGCATATGCGTTGTAATAAGGGGAGTCTTTTTTCATTTCACCATTCTTTGACTTTTACAGGGCAAAACACATACTAGAGAATATATCATTAATTTTACATCATGAAGCATATCAAAATAAAACGGGAAAAAGGATACGTTTGCCATTGGTAAACAGGAATTCATCAAAAGACAAAGAGAAAAATACAATATGACTTGAGATGAAGTGTATCACTTAAACTAGAGTATTCAAATTGGAATGAGAAAGAGTACAATGTTTTGACAATGTTCATCAAAAAACAACGTATTGGGCTTCCCTGGTGGCGCAGTGCTTGAGAGTCCGCCTGCCGATGCAGGAGACGCGGGTTCGTGCCCCGTTTCGGGAAGATCCCACATGCCGCGGAGCAGCTGGGCCCGTGAGCCATGGCCACTGAGCCTGCGCGTCCGGAGCCTGTGCTCCGCAAATGGGAGAGGCCACAACAGTGAGAGGCCCGCATAACGCAAGAAAAAAAAAAAAACAGAGAATAATGGCAGAGGGAAGTATTAACATAAAGCTAGGGAGTTGAAAAATCAAGAAAGAACAAACGGTATGACCACAAGTTATCACCAGTAAAATGCTAGGTTTTGTTCAATAAGGAAACCTAATGTTTTAAACACTGAGATTTAAAATGCTCTAGAATATTATAAGGAAAAAATATTGCTGAAGCTAGAAAAACTTCAGGGAAAAAAATTACTAAGTATTATTATTTCAAAGGAAGACCACACTAAAAAAGAATACATAAAACTCAAGGCGGCTTTGCTTAAAAACCAGGGGGGCATGTAATTATAAACAGCATAGAAAATAATCTAGATAGTTGACTAGAACACTTAATCGAACCATGATTCTAAAATAAAAGATAACTGAACATAACGTCTTTGAGAAAATATTTAGGTAAGTTTCTTCTATATATTTATTCTAAAGGGTACAAGGATTCATTGACAATGAAAAAAATTTTTTTTAATTAGAAAATGATATGAGTGAAGAATTTAAACTATAATTTTGTTATTAAATATTTAAAGTTATATAATAGGATTCTATATAATTGTTAATAGAATCGGTAAGATGAGAAAAAGAAAACTAATTTTAACGTATTAAAGAAATAAAAATTTGACCAATTTTACCAATGGACCTCATTTTAGAAAATAATTATATAGTTTTTGCCGTTGCACGGTTTATCATATAGGACACTAATTTATCTTGTATAAACTTGAAGCTTGGGACTAAAGATAGTTTCATGCTGAATTATACACGTCATATATGAAAACTGTATCATCAGAAAAGAATGTTAGGGGTCTATTAAGCATTCTAATTATAAAAATTAAGAGGTATAGAAACAAGGTCCAGAAGTTTTTAATATAAAGAAGGGAATCTCTGGGCCCAGGAAAAGGTTCATCACTGAGTAGGAGAGACAGGTAATGGTGAAGCAGGACCAGGGAGTTAGAAAAGACTGTAAAATCATGGTAAGGACATACTACATATTATTCCTACTAGGTAGGTTTAGGGCACTGATATATTGTCCATCCAACTGACTGTGGGGTTTGTTGGCTACTCAAGCTAGATAGTACATAACTAGGCTGAATTTTTCCATTCAAATGTCACTGGCTTATGGATACACAAACTTTATAAAGGAAATAAACTGAGAAGTAAAATTTGCTTCACAGAAATTCATATTATAGTTAGTTCTTTTTATAAATAATCCTATTCCCTTTAAAAAGGGACAGCTACCTTTTAAAGAAAGATTTTACGGAAGTGCAACACATACACTGGTTGCAGAACAAAATCACTGTGCTCCTAACTGGTCCTTTCCTATTTCCGTCCTTGCCATGTCATCTGAAAGATGGAAAATACAGTGGTTCCTTTTCAGTGGAATTTTTTTCTGTCTGCTATTTTTATACCTAATAAGTGAAAACTGCAAACTAATATAGTATCAGTTTTAAGTATTCATCATTTAAATCTTTATAAAGGTAAAGAAACTTGCATATGCGTTGTAATAAGGGGAGTCTTTTTTCATTTCACCATTCTTTGACTTTTACAGGGCAAAACACATACTAGAGAATATATCATTAATTTTACATCATGAAGCATATCAAAATAAAACGGGAAAAAGGATACGTTTGCCATTGGTAAACAGGAATTCATCAAAAGACAAAGAGAAAAATACAATATGACTTGAGATGAAGTGTATCACTTAAACTAGAGTATTCAAATTGGAATGAGAAAGAGTACAATGTTTTGACAATGTTCATCAAAAAACAACGTATTGGGCTTCCCTGGTGGCGCAGTGCTTGAGAGTCCGCCTGCCGATGCAGGAGACGCGGGTTCGTGCCCCGTTTCGGGAAGATCCCACATGCCGCGGAGCAGCTGGGCCCGTGAGCCATGGCCACTGAGCCTGCGCGTCCGGAGCCTGTGCTCCGCAAATGGGAGAGGCCACAACAGTGAGAGGCCCGCATAACGCAAGAAAAAAAAAAAACAAAAAAAAACCAAAAAAAAAACAACGTATTAAAAAATTTTAATGTAAAGTTTGAATTCAAACTTTAAAATTACTATTTGAGGGCAACGTACTCTAAACTCAGGAAAACACAACACTAGGGTGAAACACCCTAAGTTGAAGATGAGGATTTAAATTTGAACCTACCTTTTGCCAAAGATGGAATCATTTGCCAAAAGGAAAGCAAGTACCTGATCATAAGTCTCAGAAAATATAAATTAAATCTTCATTTATGGTGTGACACCTGTTACTAAAGCAATTCATTTACTACAATGCTCAACTCAATTTTTCAGTTGTTTAAATAATAGCACAAAACTAGGGAAATTATAAATATTTAAGATTAAAATGTCAGTAGAAAACGTATTACATATGGATTAAAAGAAAAGCATTCACTCAAACTACTCCTGAATAAGAAGCCAAAATAATTCCATTTAGAACTTTAACAGAGAGAGAACAGCCCATAAATCCTGTTTGAAAGACAAGAATAAATAACAAACTGTTAAGCAAAGCCAGGAATCTAGATGACTTTGAAACATCCACTTACATCCATTTTAATGAAGAATTGAAGGATACACTGTGTTAAAGACATATTTAAAAGACTAGCAGTGGAATAAGACAGATGAATCAAATTTTGTTATAGCCTAAATAATTACAAGAGACTTTGAAAACGTAGTGTAATTCATGTTTTCTTTCCAGTTTCAAAGCTTCTATCCATTGCCTCTATCTTTGGTGTCACTGCCACCAATAAACACAGTATACAGCTTAGAAACCTAATTACTATCTTCAACTAGGAAAAAGTAAATTAACATTATTTCTTTAAAAGTAAGATATAAAGAACGTGGTCCAACTTAATTTTGTCTCATGGTCCCACAGTATTCTGAAATATCATGCCAAAATGTAAAAGTTTAAAAGGGAACATCATCATTTCCTATAAGTGCACCAAAAATTTAGCTACTGTACGCTGGTGTGATGACAGCTAGAAGTATGCAGAGGCCACACAACGACATAACATACGTGTGTTCGGCGCACAATTACTCCAAGGAAGGTTCAGTTTAATGGGAAACTGAAACATGGACAACATAATGCCTTCATGTACATATGCTACAGCGTTGTTCTCTTGCAGTTCAAAAGGACAGTGTAATTGTCTTAAATTTACACAAAACATTATGAAACATGGTAGTTGCTCATGATTAAAATAAAACAGCAATGTCAATTAAGTTAACAGTGTTAAATATATTCACATGATCACCACCGTGATTCAAAGTGGCCACAAGTGAAGTTACACAGCGATCTATGCACACATCTGCCACAAGGGTGCTTGCCAGTTTGACTTTCTGCAGACCAGGTAATTTTACGAGACAAATAATCTTGCACTGATTCTTTCATATTACGAAAGGAATTAGATGCTGTAAGTAGTTTCATTCCTCTGGGGGATGGGGAGAGGACCTCTAAAAATCAGTGCAAATTGAAGAGAGGTCTCCCTTCTGGAATATTGGAACTTGCTGACCAAGATACGATTCCTATAAGCTGAGGATAAACAAATCTTAAGACATCAAAGAATCTCATAACATTGTCATGGCGTTTAGCAGGTATTTGCCACAAAGAGGAATCCCAGCCCTACAGCAGGGCCTTCGGAGAGTACGGCTGCTGGGGCGGAGGCGGCTGGGGCAGCGCCGATGTTAAAGTATAGTTCGGCACCTGGGACAGGCTGCTCCCTGCATTCTGGTATATGGTGACGTCGGGGGCGGCAGGAGGAGGACTATACACTGAAGCCTGGCTGGGATACGTGCCTCCTTGAACGGAAGTGCCCATCGTGCTGTGGAGGGAAAGAACACTCGGTTAGATCAACACTGACTTACCCACAGCCGTTTAGAGATGAACCGGAAAGCTGTTCATGAGACAGTTACTCATTCATGCAACGCGTTCAATAAATACTTAGTAAATAGCTATAACGTGCCAAACACTGTTATTTGAGGCACTGGGATATCATCAAGAAGGAAGGGGGAAATGTCCCTATCATCATGGAGCTTACATTCTAACAGGATAAAAGAGATGATAAAAAAATGTATAATATGTGAAGAGGTAGTAACAAGAGGTGGTATAAAGAAACGTAAAGCATCGTGGGAGAACCCCGAGTTCCTGGGACAAGCGATTCCTGGGTATCCAGGGTGGTCCTGGAGGCTGCTCAGACACAGCTACACTGAAGCAGAGACCTGGAAAGAGGGGGAGGGAGTGACACCATTAGCTAGGAAAACAGGCTTTCAGGCAAGGAGAAAAGCAGGCCCTTGAGAAGAGAAAAGGCCCGGTGTGTTCAAGGAGCTACAAGGAGGCCTGGGTGGCCGGAGCGATGCGGCAGAAGCAGGGAGGAGGAGCCGCAGAGTGCAGGGCCATGCAGACTCTGGCGTGTACTGAAGTGGGACGGAGACACACTGGCTGCTTGTGGACACAAGAGCGATGCGATGTGACTTGGCTTTAACAGGCTCACCGGGCCCAGGACAGAAGCCAGGTGACCTGACTGGGGGCTGCTGGAATCGTCCCTGTGAGAGCCCGTCGGGCAGCTGGCGAGAGCCATGGAGGAAAGGGGAGGGGAGGGTCCGATTTTGAAGGAACTTCCATCAAAGGAAGTTTACATCATGTCTGAGGTAAAATCTTAGAACTAAGTCCTACTCTACTCTGGTATAGTAGCCATTTACTGAAAAGGAAAAGACTACAGATAAGGGCCACGGCAGATTTGGGGAGGGAGAATCAAGCAGTTTTGGACATGTCAAGTGAGATACCTAGGAGACTGCCAAGAAATGACAGTGAGCAGGCGGTCAGCTATGCGGGTCTGGAGCCCAGCAGAGAAGTAAGGGCTCGGAGCTCAAATTCGGGGGTCATCGGCACACACAAGCGTTCAGGGTCAGGGGCCTGAATGACATCCCCCAGGGAGCGACTGCAGACAGAGGAAAAAGCACTCCGCGTTTTGAGCTCTAGAGCTAGAAGTCAGGGAGATCAAGAGGCACTAGGCAAAGAAGGCTGAAGAGTGGCAATAAGGCAGAAGGAAAACTAAGAGAGCACAGTCACAGCCAAGTGAAGAAAGTACTTCAAAAAGGACGTGACCACTGGGTCTGGCCACACGGAAATGCTGGTCCCTAAGAGCAGTGCTGGAAGACTAGGGGAGATGAAGACCTGATATCCTCCTTTGTCTTATTCCCTGAAAACAGAGAAGCAAACAACAGAGACCTTCTATCTACTCCCACTAACACATTTACCCACTGTCTGCACCCACACCCACGGCTACATCCTGCCTCGCCTCCTGCTGGGACCGACCACCTGCCAGTGTGCTCCTGTGCAAGGTGCCCCCACTTGCACGGATCCCATCCCACCGACCAGAACTCCTTCGAGCTGTCTTGATTCATGTCTCGGCTTCCTCTCTTCCCATCCCCAACCTGACAGTCGAGTTTCCACTATGTGTAAGACACCAGGATACATACAAAGAGAAATAGGAAGAGCTTTAACAAGCAGATTTCCCCCCCACCTCTCTGTGAAAAATGTAAAACAAACTATACAATGGGCAATTGCCTAAAATTTTCAAAATACTGCCTATTTTTAAACTTTTCTTCAATTCCTAGATTGTTTATAAATCAATGTTGGTAAATTCAAAACTCTTGTACTTTGTACAAATTAAACCAATTCACTATTATAACAGATAGTCATTTGCTACTATATTCCACCAACTAATGTAGCCACGTAAGTCATGCTTAAAGGCATCACCCATTATCATTCCACAAGTGTTGTGTTATGAAATATGAAGTATTACAAGAACTCAGGTTTCATGCTATTGGTCACATGGATAAGGGTCACAACAATGCTATTGTATCATGTTGAGACTAAGTGCTAAGCTCTGGTGCCAAAATGCCTAGTTTTGTATCTTAGCTAAATGGGACCTTAGCCGTTGCTCCCTGCCTCAATTTCCTCATCTATAAAATGGGGATAATAGTGTACCTACTTCATGGGTTATTACCGTCAATGAGTTAATACACGTAAAGCATACAGCACAACACCTAGTGCTTACTACCCCATAAATGTTAGCTATCACTGTAATCATTCCCACTTTGTACTATATTCCTTATCTCAACGTAAAAGTTCTACCATCCACCCAGTTGTTCAAGGGTTAAAACCCAGCAATTCTCTCATATCTCTGCTCTGCACTATCTCCCCACCGTGTTACCCACAGGCAATCATTTGCTCATCTCTAAATAACCCTTTTCTCATCCCTATCTTGTAGTTAGACACTCATCATTTCTTGCCTAATATACTACCTCCCAGCTCCTAATCTAGTCCGTATGAATCCATCAACACTATCACCATCTGAAGCTCTTTACGGGCTTTCCCAGACAAGACCCAAGCTCCTTAACATGGTATCTCAGACCATCCATTATCCTTGTCAGTAAGTCCAAGCGTCTCTCTCACCTCTCCCCCCGGAGACTTTAACCCTTTAGTAACACTGCACCACTGGTAATGCCCAACATGCACCGTGCGTTTTCACTGCTCCCCATTTCATCCATTCCATGGGTACCATGCATTTCACAGCATGTCAGGTAAACAAAAGCATGAGACCCACATCTTTGTTCATGACAGACAATTACTCTTACTTTTTCCTCCAGTCTTAAGAGCATATTTTTCTTGGAAATCTTCCCTGAACCCTGAGGCTCCTCAAGCACTCTGCATATACTTTTATTTGTAATTTGTGTTGTAACAACATACTTTGTGTGTGTTTGCCTCCATTGGCCCCTAAGAACCTTGAGGCTCAAAAACACCAAATCAATGGTCAACTAATAGCTGCCAAGGGAGCCAAGAATACTCAATGGGGAAAGGACAGTCTCCTCAACAAACGGTGTTGGGAGAACCGGATAATCACATGCAGAGGAATGAAAAAGGTCCCCTGTCTTACACCGCACACGAAAATGAACTTGAAATGGAATTTAAATTTAAGACCTGAAACTGTAAAACTCCTAGAAGAAAAGACAGGGGAAAAAGGTTGTTGAGACTGGTCTCGGCTGCGGTTTCCTGAATATACAGCAAAAACACAAGCAACAAAAGCAAAAATCAGTAAGTGGGACTACATCAAACTAAAACGCTTCTGCACAGCAAAGAAAACCATCAACAAAACCAAAAGGCAACCTATGAAATGGGAGAAAATATTTGCAAATCACATTATCTAGTAAGGAGTAAATATCCAAAATACATAAAGAACTCATACAATTCAAGGGCAAAAAACCCAACAATCCATCGCTTAAATAAATCATCATTTTGTTTTCTTGACCTCCCCCTCTGTCTCTGAATTCTTTCTGCCAAAAGAAACTACCCGGGGAACCATCCTTGTTGGACCCATCCAGGAGAATTCAGGAGGACCTTCAAGATGACGGAGAAGTAAGACGTGGAGATCACCTTCCTCCCCACAAATACATCAGAAATACACCTACATGTGAAACAACCCCTACATAACACCTACTGAATGCTGGTAGAAGACCTCAGACCTCCCAAAAGGCAACCAACTCCCCACATACCTGGGTAGGGCAAAAGAAAAAAGAATAAACAGAGACAAAAGAATAGGGACGGGACCTGCACCGCTGGGAGGGAGCTGTGAAGGAGGAAAGGTTTCCACACACTAGGAAGCCCCTTCGCAGGCGGAGACTGCGGGTGGTGGAGGGGGAAGCTTCGGGGCCACGGAGGACAGCACAGCAACAGGGGTGCGGAGGGCAGAGCGGAGAGATTCCCACACAGAGGATCGGTGCCGACCGGCGCTCACCAGCCCGAGAGGCTTGTCTGCTCACCCGCCGGGGCGGGTGGGGCTGGGAGCTGAGGCTCCAGCTTCGGAGGGCAGATCTCAGGGAGAGGACTGGGGTTGGCTGCGTGAACACAGCCTGAAGGGGGCTAGTGCACCACAGCTAGCAGGCAGGGACTCTGAGAAAAAGTCTGGAACAGCCTAAGAGGCAAGAGACCATTGTTTCAGGGTGCGCAAGGAGAGGGGATTCAGAGCACCGCCTAACCGAGCTCCAGAGACGAGCACGAGCCACGGCAATAAGCACAGACCCCAGAGACGGGCATGAGACGCTGAGGCTGCTGCTGCCGCCACCAAGAAGCCTGTGTGCGAGCACAGGTCAGTACCCACACCTCCCTCCCAGGAGCCTGTGCAGCCCGCCACTGCCAGGGTCCCGTGATCCAGGGACAACGTCCCTGGGAGAACACACGGCGCGCCTTAGGCTGGTGCAATGTCACACTGGCCTCTGCCGCCGTAGGCTCGCCCCGCACTCTGTACCCCTCCCTCCCCCGGGCCTGAGTGAGCCAGAGCCCCCAAATCAGCTGCTCCTTTAACCCCGTCCTGTCTGAGCGAAGAAAAGATGCCCTTCGCTGACCTACACACAGAGGCAGGACCAAATCCAAAGCTGAATCCCAGGAGCTGTGCGAACAAAGAAGAGAAAGGGAAATCTCTCCCAGCAGCCTCAGGAGCAGCAGATTAAATCTCCATGATCAACCTGATGTACCTGCATCTGTGGAATACATGAATAGACAACGAATCATCCCAAATTGAGGAGGTGGACTTTGGGAGAAACTGTAGACTTGGGGTTTGCTGTATGCAACTGACTAGTTTCTGATTTATATGTTTATCTTAGTTTACTTTTTAGTGCTTGTTATGATTGGTAGATTTGTTTATTGGTTTGGGGGCTCTCTTCCATTCTTTTTTATTACTTTATTTTAATATTTTTTTATTTTAATAACTTTATTTATTGTAATTTTTTTTCCTTCTTTCTTTTTTTTCCTCCCTTTTCTTCT